CTAAGAAGACTTTCCTGATGGTGTCACTACCAGGACTTGACCACTTGTACTCCAGCCACGCCCTGGACCCTCTCTCCAAGGGCGGCTTTGGGAATTAGGTTGTGAGCAGTGTGTATCGAGTTGAAATGTGAGAGTATAATAATCCCCTTCCCTGATCGTTGCAGCTCACAGGTCCAGGCCCCAGGCCTGAAGTGCTCCCCCCCCGGCAGGACCCTGTCCATCGGTGTTATTGCGTGTCCCCGTCATCCCACCCCTATCCCTGTGCTGAGGGCCTGCCTGTGATACACCTGGGTCAGAATGTGGATGCAAAGTCCAGAGAGGGCGGTGTGCTGTCCAAGGATGGAGTAAGCCAGGGTCAGGGCCAAGGGCATCCATTGTCATGTTTTTAGCCTTAGTGTAGGAACCCAGGGCCCTTCCATGCCCTGTCTCCAGGCAGCCCAGCACACTGGAGGAAAGAGTCAGAGAGCCCTGGACCAAACCCTACCTCTGTCATTTCTAGCTGGGTGCCATTTCCAGCTTGACACATGGCACCTCCTCTCTGAGCCTCATTTCCTTGTGTGGAAAATGGGGATACTAGTTAGCTTTGCAGGTGAAGAGAGAGAGAGAACACAAGTGAGCGAGTATGGGCATTCCCTGTAACAGTGTGACAGAGAGCAACAGTTCCTGCATGGTCGAGGGGCACAGGGCTGCCTGAGCTGGAAACTCCAGGAAACTGGTGCCCATTAGGGCAAGACTACAAGCAGGTCATTACCCTGTGCCCAAGGTTTTGGTGGCGAAAACCTAAGTCTACGACAGGAGTGTGGTTTCTGTGACAGCCCTGCGCTGTGTACATCCTGTGTTAGTGCCCGAGTACTCACACACTCAGTGTGATATGGCATCACTGTTCCTTCCAGGCACCCCCATCCCATGCCCACTGCCAGGGCACCCTTTACTGAGATCTGTTGCTAAGTCCTTGACTGCCTCTCCTTCCTTCTCAGCTTGCACAGATCTGCCCCAAGCACAGAACCCAGAGCCTGGCACCCTTGTCCCAGTCCCTCTACCTCCAGGGACCCTGTGGTAGCTCCCAGGGGTCTTTGCAGGGTTCCTGTCTCTGTAAGACTGCTCCACTTTTCCCTGTTCAACTCCCTTCCACTGCAGTCCTGTCTGAGCCAGGTGGTCTCACTCTTGTCCCCTGTCCCTGGGCTTCTGACACCCCTCCTGCCCAGCAGTTTTGCAGGATGGGGTTTCGGCAAGACACAAAAGTCCTGATGGCCACCTGGCTGAATAGTTCCAACAGGGGAGACTCAGAACTTCCTGGTCCTACATGTTTAGTTCAAGCTTGGGTCAAGCCTGGGCCCAGTCACACAGGGACTGAGTAGACCTGGGGAGTCCTGGATGATGAACCCCCCCAAAAACCTGCTACTTGAAAGAACTGGCTCTGACACACAGCCCAGGCACACAACAAGCTTCCAGACTGAGACCCGAGGTGTAGGCAGGTTCCCTGGGGGACTCAGATGTGCCCCCTCTGCCCAGCAAGGACTCTCGGGGGACTCTAGTTATTCTGCTTAGGTCCCAGCCTGGCCCCAACTGCCTCACCTCAGAGAGGTGACTTCAGCCTCATCCTCCCACTTTTCCCATCTCTGAAGTGGCGATGTGAAAACGCCTCCTCCACAGTGTGGTCAAGAGCAGATCCTAACAGATGCCAAGGATGTCAGCTATCAGAATTCAGGGACCAAGGCGTCTGGACATACCCACTGCCACCACGTTCTCCCTCAAATTAGAAGCCCAGGAGGATGCCCAGTGTGAGAGAAAGAGGGTCAAGGGCCTGTCCTTCCTGCTGACTCTAGAAAACATGCAGGATGTCCCCCAGCAGGTGGTGGGGCAGGAGTGGAGGGTAAAGTGATCTGGCTACAACTTTGGAACCTTAAGTCTGGGTCCCAGAGTGAAGCTCATGCCAATGGGGTCTGAGTCTCCTGGGGGCTGAAGTAAACTCATGAGGCTCCCCTGTCCAGGACCTGACCAGTTCCCAGCACCCACCTCTTGGTCCCATGCACCAAGTGGCAAGTGCTTCCCAGCCCCGTGCTGTGCCACCATTCTCACACCCTCTCCCTCCTGGGCCTCGCCGCCTCCCTCCATTTTAGACATGCAGAAATGGGGGATCCGGGTGACCCTGGTCGTCAGTCCTGCCATTCTTGGCTGCTTTGGTATTAGCCCCAGTTCCTGAGAGCTGTTGTGTTGTTTCTCACTTTATAAATGGGGAAACTGAGACTCAGGACTCTATGGGGCTCGGAACAGAGCTGAACTTCAGACTCTGTGAGCCTGATGGCTGTACCAACAGATAAAGGCAGGAGGTGGTGCCTGGAACCACAACTAAGAGTGCCCCTTCCCACCCCCTAAGCCCCTGTCAGGGCCAACTAGGGCCAGTTCCACAGCTAGAGGGCAGAGGCCAGAACAGTAACCCTCGGGGTTTCAGAGCCAAGTGTGACGTGTCAGTACGTAAGCCCCAGAAGCAAGCATCCATTCCCCTGGAGTGAGTTGACTGGGCTTGGGCAGGCCCTAGCGCAGACGGGCCCCTGGACCCCAAGCTACATCTTCCCCATCTTCTTGGAAGCAGAGTGTGCCCCCCATGACCCACTCAACCCTGCGTCCTCCCGTGTTTATCTGACTCCCCTGACCCTGGCCCGCACCAGGCGCTTTTCTCTCCCTTTCTCAGAAATCAGGACACAATAGGCAGCGTTTCCTTGAACTTATTAAAAAATCCAGACTTGTAAATTAATTTGTTCGTGTTGTACAAAGGCAGTGCAGATGGACTCATTAGCATGCACACAACAAATAATTATAGATGAATTTTTAGCTGGCCTGCCTAATGCGCTCGCTGGGTTAATTATGTCAATGTATAATTACATCAGCCCGGGGAGACATAATGGCGTACCCTGCTGAGCGGGCCTTGCCTAATGACAAGGCGTGGGGGTGCTGCTGACAGAGGGAAGCCACAACACCGTTGCCATGCACCTGCTTACCTCGGCCCAGGCACCCGTTGTCCGAGCCTCCCTTCACCTAAGCAGATAGGCGGCACCAGGAGCAGAACCAAGGTCACTTTGTTCCAGCTGCACCTGAAGGCCCCCATGCACAGGCACTGCTGCCCCTCCCTGTCAGCAGATGTTTGTGGGGTTGGACTGGGTGTCAGGCCATGTCATAGGTCCATGGGGTCCCATCAGAGAAGGGTAGGACAGGCAGTGGCACCAGCCCACCTCCGTGAGTGGCGGTGTTCACAGCTGGAGTGGCCTAGGTACACTCACCAAGCGAGTGTACCCTGCAGCTGTGGTGGGAAAGGAAGGGGGCGGGCAGCTGGGAGAGCTCATCTTGGAGGACTTCCTGGAAGTAGTGGCATGTCAGTTGTAGTATGGGTTGACTAGCTTAAAGGGGTAAGAGGGGAAAGACACCCTGTTTTAGGCCCTGTGGTGGGAGGGGCCGTCAAGGCCAGCATCAGTGGACCTGGGACCAGGGCAGGCAGGGTTCCCATTTGGACCAAGCTGACTATATGGCTTCCTTAACACAGACACGTGCCGTGGCTGCTTTTGTGCTGAAGCACAAAGAAATTGCTTCAACTACCAAGATCACACAGTGCCCCGGGGGAACGCGTGGTGGATTAGGGACCCATGACCTCAGAATCAATGCCCCATACCGCTACACATCCTCACCAGTGGAAGCTCTGAGGGAAGCAGAAGGAAGAGAGACTGCTAGAGACTGGCGCAAGCCTGATCCCTTGACCAGAGCACTGTGTGTGGCTGATGGTACAACACTGGGCCATGGTGACATCATCTCTCCTCACCAACACATCCCCTGGCCTCACAGAGCTTTAATTACTTCTGAGTGAACCTGAGCTGGACACGAGTTGGCCTCCAGGGAGGGCCCAGGAACCCTGAAGGTGCCATGTCATGTGCTCATCTGGACCAGGCAGTAGTGTGAGCACCTGCCTTGGCAGTGGAAGCAACCAGGGAGGAAGTGTGGCAGGAGTTGTGGGCAAAGGCAGAGGAAGTCCTTGGAGGTGGCAAGTGGTACCCTAAGAGAATGGGTAACATGAGTGGGTTCGGGTCCTGATATCCATGACAGTTGACCAGGCTGGACACCATGCTGAGAAGTGAAATTTTGTTCACGTAAGAGACCTCCAAATGGAGGGGCTGGTGGAAGAGCGAGCCTCTGGGGTCTTACCGCCCGGGATCTTGAGGTGTCTTCGGCTTATTGTCTCCAGGGAACCAGGGCCTCTGTGAGGACCAGGGCCATCTTGGGGGAGCCCTTCATTCCTTGTTTCTGTTGGAACCAGAATCCTGTTGTCCAGTGGCGGCTGTTTGTGACAAGAGGCCTGTTCCATCCTGCTCTGTTGAGGTTGTGCACACTGGGGTGGTTTTGTTCTGGCCTGCTTCCAGTCCCGGCTCCCTCAGTGGGAGATAGAGCCCAACTCCACCTATGTGTGCCTGGAAGGCACCCCACATGCAGGGCTGTTCCACCTCATTGAAGCCAACATTTCCTCAATCACATACTCCAAGTACTGGTGCTGCCTCCAGCTAGTTACTCATAAGTGACCCCTGAAGCTTCCAGTATACCAGGATGTCCCGGGGCGGGGGATTGGGAGGAGCTGAAGGTCCCAGACCAAGTGACAGCCGTGACCACCCGCCCCCCCAGCCCAAGAGGCAGGGAAGTTAGACGCATTGCCCACTACCACATTGTCCAGAGCACAGTGCCAGAATCCATCTTTGGTGATCTGCATGGCACAATCTCACAGCCACTAAAGGTGGCATCGTCAAGAAAATGTAGTAGTTATGACAGTTAGCCCTTTTATTGTTACTCCCAGCACAGGCACCCCCAAGCAGATGCCAGGAAGGCTGTTTCTCCATAAAGCAGTCAGACCCTGGCATCCCTAGCCGTCAGAGTGGTGCTGGGTGGCCTTTGTAGACCTCTGGGGGACCCACACATCCTGGGCCTCGGCACCTTCCTCATCGCCCACATCTCTATTTATGCAGAACCTGTGCCTGTGTTTGAAGCGCCGCGTGGCCCAGACGACAGACTGCAGCCCCCTAGCTTTGACCCCAGCGGGCAGCCCCGGCGAGATCTCCACAACTCGTGGAAGAGGCACCCAGAGCTCCTTGGACCCAAAGGTACCAACCAGGGTGGGAGGGGTGGGGGTGTGGTCCCATGGCAAGGCGAGGAGCAGTGGAGGCGACATGGCTGTGGGCCAGGACCCTGAGTCTGCGGCTCAGCCTGTTGAAGGGCTGGCGGGGTGGGGAGGGGCGGCACCAGGAGCACTCCTGGCCATCACTCAAGGGCCCATTGTCGCAAACATGTGATGTCCAGGGCCACAGGGAGTGTGGGGCTCACAGGGGCCATGTGGGTGCAGGCCTCTGAAGATGGGCATGTAGCCTTCACACCCACACCCTGCCAACCACATCCCTTATTGGGGTGCTGATCTGATCAAGTGGGGTGCTGATCTAATCAAGTTCCAGCTACTCAGCTTGTGATCCGACTTCCTGCTTGTAAGCCTGGGAAGCAGCGGGTGATGGCTCAAGTGCTTGGGCCCTGCTACTCCCGTGAGAGACCAGGATGGAGTTCCTGGCTCCTGCCTGCTCCAGCCCTGGCCGTTGAAGACATGTGGAAAATCAATCCTCTCTCTCTCTCTTTTTCTCTCTCCCCCCATTCCTGCCCTTCAAGTAGATGAAAATCAATAAGTACTTTTTAAAATGCACTTAATATCCCAGTAAGCCCACCGTAAAGGCAAAAATCATCATAAACTCAAAGCAACATAAGTCAGTCTCTGTATACAGGATTGCACCCTTGACCCTGTGAACTTGGGACTAGTGAAGAACTGGACTCAGGGGCCCCATGTCAGAGGTCAGAGCTGCATTCCTGCAACCCAAGACCACAGAGCCAGCCTGGGACCACCCGAGCTTTCTGGGGCAGCCCCGTACCCCAGGGAAGAAGGGGTGAGGCTTCAGCTGTAAGGGCCATAGCAGGGCTGATAAGGAGATCCTACACCCTCCCCCAGAGAGGTGGGCCTGCATCAGGGCCGCAGAGCAGGGCAACTGAGTGTAGGCAACCCGCTGCGAAGGAGCCAGACCCCCAAGGGGGTCCTGCCGGCCCCTCCTCCAAGCCCTCTGCCACAGAAGGCCCTAATGTGACACCGCCAAAGGCACACTCCAAAGGAAACAGGAAGCTCTCCCCAGTGACCCGCAAAGTGGGCACGGCAGTCCTCACCCAGGCACAGACACGAGGCACTGAAGCTAAGGGTGCACAGCATGGCAGGGATGTAGGGTGTGGGAGCCCCCGTCTACAGCAGCTGAGGCATGGGTGGGACAGCTGCAGCCTCGGAATGAGGCTAGTGAAGCATGCCTATGCTGCCCAAGAAGGGGTGAGAATGCCATCGGCCACAGTTTCTGTGGTTTCCCACAAAGCTGGAACGAGCTAGTGGTTCAGAACAGAGCCCGGAGTATGGCGGCATCCACGTGAACAAACGTAGGCCCGCCTAACAGCGCGGATACCTCTGCCTGGCTGCTGCGCGGCCCTAGACCCAGGCCTCACACACAGAGCTTGCAACGGGCGAAGCTGAAGCCCGGGGCTCCAGTGTGCACTGTCATGATAACAAGATGGCAGGATGACAAACACTGCAGTCAGGTGGCAACCTGTGCCAAGGGGGAGGAGCCCTGGGCAGTCACTGGGCTAAGTGCCAAGCCCCATGCCAGCCTTTGGGTGCACAGCTAAGACTCAGACCCACAGGAATCCTGCCCTTGTGCCCTGACCATCTAGAAAGAGTGTGAGTGAATGAATAGGTCAGGTGGTATACAAGCTTGGGGGCAGTGAGTGAGGGGCTGGTGACAGGTGGGAGATTGCTGTCTAAAGGAATGGGTGCACAGCCTTAACCCAAGGGCCACAGCTTTTTCTGGCAAGGGTCAGAGCATGAGCGTTTGAGCTGATATGGGCCACTCAATATCTACTGCTGAAGTATGGAAGCAGCCATGATAGAGGTATAAATGTGTAAGTGGGGCTATGCGCCAGTAAAACTATTTACAAAGCAGGTGAGGGCCAAGTCTGCCCCAAGGACTTCAATGTGAGCTCCATCCTGAAGCTGTCGGACAGGCAGTACAGACGGGCCAGTGCCCGCTGTCACACTCCGTGTCCCCTAGTTCAGTCTGTCAGTCATGTCCCAGTGAACACCTGCCCAAGCCCGACCAGTGGCCAAACCAGCACTTTGCCTATTCTCTTCCCACCCAGGAATGCTCTTCCAGTCACCGTCTTGGAGTAGGGGAAGCTCAAAGGGAGCAGGTGGCCAGCAGGGCTCCGCACCAGCTGCCTCTCATCCTGAGAATGCTTCTAACCCGGTGTCACCGTGCTCTGACTTCATATTGAGGCACCGCTATGCCCTTGGCCCTGACCCCCCGTCGGCTCCTCGGGAAGCTCTCCCTGCACGCTGTAGGCTCTGCAGCTGCCCTCCTAGCCGGGAACACAGTCAGAGATTAATAAGCAACACGGAGACAAACTCAGTCGGGCCCACGCCCAGGAGCCCAGCTGGTAGAATTCTCGAACCATCCCATATGAACCCTGTGGCATCTCACCAGGTCCTTGCCAGGCCTCATTCTGGAGAGCAGCTGAATGTTAGGCTCTGCAGGTCCTCCTGCCCGCTAACCCAGAAGTCACATCTGGGCCCTGCATTCCCCATCTGCTGGCCTCCCTACCTGGGCCTCACAGGTACACCTCCCATACCGCAGGCTCTGTCCTCAGTGGTCAGCCTCTAGCCATCATCCTCCCTAGCCAGTCCCCAGGAAGAGCATCCTGGGGGCCTGCTCATACTTGTACCTACAGTTGACAAGTGGGTACACTCCATAGTGAGGAGCAAAACCAGCCTTCTGCTCTCCCATAGGTTGATCAGGGTGAGGGTGCCATGTGGCCCAGCAACTCTCACTCGTAGAGCTGAACTCCCCTAAGAATCGACATCTAAAGCTCCCAGCGGCACCACGCTGGACAAGCAGAAGTGGAAGCCATGCTGGGATCGGCTCCCACCTTGGGGAGGAATGCAGCCGGAGCAGCTGCAGTGTGGGCAGCCCAGAGGGGAGCAGTGCGTGAAAGGTCTGAAACTGGAGCAGAGACCGAGGGCGGGTAGGCTGGTAGCAGCACAAGGCTGTGAGGGACCTGCAGAGGCCCTCGTCCCTGTGCAGCGGAACCAGGTACTGGCACCGGGGGTGATGGTGCTCAGTAGTGCATGTTTCATTCAGCATCTCTGCAGCGAGGCACCTGCTGTTAGAAAATCGCCAAGACGACAGGGAGCCTCCACGTGTGCGTGGTGGGAACATGACCAGTAACCAAAGTGTCCCTGGGGAGGCTGGGAAGTATACTGGAGTGGGTTGCCGTCAGCCAGTGGTTATGGCTCACGTGCTGCTCTCAGCGCCCAATGTCTGCCTCTTTCTCTCCCTGCAGAGCAGAGAGAGAGGACATCCCCTGCCGGGCCCACGCTGACCGAGGGGAGCCGCCTCCCTGGCCTTCCTGGCAAAGCCCTCCTGACAGAAACCTTGCTGCAAAGAAATGAGACGGAGAAACAGAAGTGAGGAGGGGGTGGAGGGGTGGAGGGGTGGAGGGGTAGAGGGGTAGAGGGGTGGAGGGGTGGGACTCCCTGCTGCCCCACTTGGCTGGGGGATGGAGAACCAACCCTGAGAACGCAGGCCAGGCATGCGGAGGCCAAAGGCAGAGGGCTCAGAGACTGGCCCTGAGCGGGCCACCTCACCATTCCGAGCCTCGGTTTCCCCACTGGATAACGGGTTAGCCTTTGTTCTGCTGGGACACAGATTGGCGGGAAGTTCTCCTTCCACTACGAGATGTCTTTTGAGGCTGCACTTCATGAAATGGAGTGAATGGGGCTGATCACCAGTCCGGCACAGGCCACTGGCTCTGCGGCTGCAGGCCAGGGTAGAGTCTCTCCCCTCCCTGCTGTGCTCGTAAGACCGTCCCCCGATCAGACAAGGCCCACCCACATCCCCTGGGATGTTCTCCTCTGCATGGGTCAGCTGATCATAAATGTGAACCCCACATATTTGCCCACCCTGAGTGGTGGCATTACTGGGCACGGTGCCCCAGCCACATGCACACTTGGCCTTGAGGTCACTGGCATGCCCACTCCAGGATTGTTGCAAATGTGAAATGAGACGGTGCCTGTGAGTAGGCGGTAGGGAAGGCTGCCCGATGGTCAGCAACTGGGACTCAGGGCATCAAGCTGGCTGCTCCCTCCCCGTCTCCATCATTTACCTGTTCCTCCTCCCTTCTTCATGTTTGTGGAGCCAGCCACTGGGCACCAGGCATTCACTATTCTAGGCACTGGAGACTCTGTCCTCCTGGGCGTGGCTCTGTGGTAAAGAAGGTGCGTGAATGAAGAAGATAAGTGAGAGAGGCTGTGATGAGGATGGGGCGGGCTGCAGAACCAGGGACAGGTATGAGGGGAAGCCCTCCCTTGCGGGGAGAAGCAGGTGCAGAGTGGAACCCATGAAGACAGGACGAAGGCCTGGCCTACTGGGCTGGCAAGAAAGTGAATGGGGCTAGAGGGGGAGGGGCAGGAGAGGAGACCACAGGTACCCTTCCCAGTCCTGCCGGGGCCCCTCTCTGCTGGGAAGCGTAGCTGGCCCTGAGCTCTGCCGCACAGGCTGCCACAGCAAAGGGGTGTGTGCCCCCGACAGCCTGCGTTACAGCACCCATGGAGGCAGGTACTGCAGAACGCCCCTTCACGGAGAAGGAAACCGAGGTCCCCTGCTGCTCTCAGTGTGTCCCCCTGAAAGTGCTGGCAGAAGCTCACCGGGCCAGCAGGGACGCCAGTGACCTGCACTGCAGTGGGACTGAAGGGAGCGGGAGCCAGGGCAGGGTAGGCTCAGTTGGCCCAGGCATGGCCGGTCCCCTGGCCAGAGTGAGCAGGCTTGGTCTCTCCGCAGGGGCCTTCAAGAAGTGCAGATCACTCTGGCAGCCCGACTGGGGGAGGCGGAGGAGAAAATCCGTGTCCTGCACTCAGGTGCGCATCCAGCACACATGGACATGGGCCACGGGCAGGACCGCTGTGCTCAGTGGCTCCAGAACCAGGAGGGAACGAGGAGAGGCTTGGAGGGGAGTGCGGGTGGGGACAGCCTTACCAGCAGGGGGTCCTCAGGGTCATTACTAAGTCCAGACAGAGGGCTGGAGATAGAATTAAAGCAGGCACACATGCCACCATGGTTAGGGTACGTACTGGGGAGGGGCCCCGTCTAGGGCAAACTGGGTGAGCCAGGCCTCACCTCCTGCTTTTCAGAAATCTCAGTTGCTGTGATACACCCAGAGCAGAATCCAGGGGGCAGGGAGGACCTGAGGGTGTTAAGGTTTACCCCAGACCAGGGGACACACAGCCACGTGCTCCCACCCCCGTGCAGCCCCCTGGACTCAGAGCTGAGTCACTGCACTGCCCAGACAGCCCCATGCGCTCCTGCCAGCGTGAAGCCCTTGGGGCCAGACCCACTCCCTGGTGCCAGTTCTGTCAAGAGAAAGAGTAGAGTACCTCCCTGCCCCGCCTACAATTGTGCTTTCTGGGGCTCTGGGGGCACGGCCTCTGCCCACCTGGGCACAGGGGTCTATCTCATCCTGGCATTTTACCACTTCCCAGCGCTAAAGGCCACCCAAACAGAGCTCCTGGAGCTGCGCCGAAAGTACGACGAGGAGGCAGCGTCCAAGTAAGTGAGTGCCCTGCCGAGGTGTACCTCCTCCTGACCCCACACGTGCCTCCTCCCTCTGACCTCCAGACTGTGTCTTCCTTCCGACTGCCAGTCATGACTCGTCCCTCCGACCCCCAGTGTGCCTCCTCCCTCCAGTCATCCAGGCTCCCACACATGCCTCCGACCCTCTGTCCATCCCACATGTGCCTCCTTCCTGACTGCCCCATGCCTGCCCTTTGTTCAGTAGCTCTGCTCCTCACACCCCTTCCCACCAGGCACACAGCTGCTTCTCCTCTGCAGCTAAGCACCCCGGGACCCGGGCTGAGGAGGCTGCTGGGAAGGGTCTGTTACCCACCCCCCGCAGAGCCCCCAGGCTGTCCCCACTCCCCCCTACAGAGTCCAACCCTTGGGGGCCAAGTAGCATTCACCTAAATACCTCTGGGCTCAAGCAATCTTCAGGCTCTAAGACGTCGGCTCAGCTCACACACACTTAGTGAGTACCGACTATTTACCCAGTGCTGTGCTGTGTCCAGGAGAAAATGCTGGAATACTGCCCTGCCATGGGTTGAAGAGACAGCCAGTAACTAGAGTACACTATGGCACACTTGCTGTGTGCCCAGCCCTTTCTCTGCAAATGGTGAATGCTGCGAGGGAGGAACCAGGGACAGGCAGACGGTAGCAAGGAGGGCTGGGTCCTTCACCGGGGGCCGGGAGGGGGAGCAGGCAGGGAGTGTCCCCAGAGGAGGTATCTCTCTGTGTGAGTCCTGAGGGATGGAGTGGCCATGGGAGGGACCTGGGGTGATACTCTGGTTCATGCCAGGAAAAGTCCTGGGTGCACATGCAGCCCAGGTGGCAGCCCAAGACCCCCAAGGTCCGCTGGCTGGAGAGGGGTCCCTTCCTGAGCCCCTGAGGGCTGGCAGTCAGGAAGGGTGAGCCCCATTCTCAAGGAAGGCTGTCCAGGCAGGCGGCATCATGGGGGTGAAGGGCCAGCCAGCAGGGGTCTTCCTGGGGAGAAAGCCCTGGGAGGTGGCAGGCGTGGCTGCCTGGAAGGGGCGTACAGCCAGACCTGCTCCCGGCTCCCCAACCTGCATGCTCTCCGCAGGACAGAGGGCAGGGCAGCCTCCTCCACCCCATGCTGGGGGATCATGGGGTCCCGGGTGGGGCACGGGCCTGGCAACAGCCGGCAACCCCTCCTCAGGGCCTCATCTCTCTGTCTCAGGGCAGATGAAGTCGGCCTGATCATGACCAACCTGGAGAAAGCAAATCAGGTGAGGAGGTGCTGGGGCTCCTTGCCCGATGTCGGAGCTCAGCCTTCCCCTAACTCGGTGTGTCTTGTGCCTGCCATCGGCGGGGGCTGCGAGGGACCACGAGTCCCAGGTAGACAGGGTTAGGCAGGTGTGGGCAGCTCAGAACTACCTGGGAATAGAGCAAAAGTTAGGGAGGGGCACCTGTCTGCCTGGTCCAGGAAGATGTCCCAGAGGAAGGGACCTGTAGCCAGAGGACACAGAGGGGTGACTCCAGGGCAGCGGCCAGGCAGACCACGCTGAGCTGTGCAGCTGCCCCTGCCTGTGGCTCTGTGAGCTGTCCCAGGCCCAGGTGAGAATCTGACGAGCCCTGTCCTCCTCCTCCCTCAACCCCGCCATTCCTGCTAATCGCACCAGACCCTCTACCTTCCCTGGGGTGCCCTCTTCCAGTCCCGACCCTGTACAGACTCTTCCTGCACCCTGGCTTTCTCCAGCTCTAAAGGCATTGTCATCTGCTAGGCATGGGCATGGCTTGGAGGGTCCCCATTTGTCCCGTGTGCCACCCATACCTGCAGTGCCAGTGGCTGCTACCTACAAGGCAGGTCCTGGCTATCGCTGAGGGAGGCCTTTGGGTTCAGGAGACCTTGCAGCTGGGGCCCCACATCCATCCAGCAGCTGTTCCAGGAAGGACCTCCACGCTGGGCAGCATGGCAGGGCAAAGACCTGCAGACATGGGGAAGGGCAGGTGCTCTCCCCTGCAGAGCCATCTGGGACCAAAGGAAGGGCTTCGGCCTCTGTCTGCCACATAGTCACCAGCAGGTGCACCCACCCTGGCTGCCCCTGCTCCACTAGAACAGGATTCCAAGCTGACACTGCTGAGACCCGGGAGCCCTCACCCTGACCACAGCCATGCCGTGTGGGGGTACAAGAGCCCAGAGAAAGGACTGGGTGGCACTGCAGAGGTGGCCTCAGGCTGCCTGAGCTTACTCAGACCTGCGATTGAGTGTGGGTCGCAGGTCACAGAGCACTTTCACTGCATTGGTGAGCAGTCCTCAAAGAGGGGCTGAAGGGTACGGCCCAAGACCCAACTTCCCACTCGTGCCCCCTCTCTGCAGCTCCATGCACGAGCTGGCGAATGCATCGCTTTGGAATCTCTTCTTGAAATGGAAGGGGTGGTCTGCCTGCAACACCCGGTCCCTTAGCCCTGCATGTGTTGTAGCCCCTTCCTGAGGAGGGCTCCCTCCTGTCCCGCAGTTGTGCGCTGTGCCGGTCCTCAGCATGGATGCCCAAGCGCCACACCAGCCACCAGGAAGCTGGGTGGAGGGGTGGAGAGCGTTTTTCCACCTTGCAAGGCCTGTGGTCTCTGTGGTCTCTGTTGCCAGGATAGCATGGAAGCCGGGACAGCACAGGGATGAAAGCCTGGCTGGATTGCGTTGCGGCTTCAGCTGTCAGGACAGGCAGCAGGCTACAGGGTGCTGGGCAGATGAGTGAGGGGAGGGCGCCTGCTGCTCACCTCTGGACCACACTCACCCCTTCCCCTCTCCCAGCGAGCCGAGGCTGCCCAGCGCGAGGTGGAGAGTCTCCGAGAACAGCTGGCCTCTGTCAACAGTTCCATCCGCCTGGCCTGCTGCTCCCCCCAGGGACCCGGCGGGGTAAGGACGAACTCCCACAAGTGAGCAGGGAGGGCAGAGTGAGACTGGGAAAGGCCATGTAGGAGGGTGACTGGGCTGGCGTGTCATGTGTCGGTGGCATGTCTGAGTTTTCAGCGTGTGGGGTGACTGGGCTGGCGTGTGATGTGCCGGTTAATTATGAGCAGGCCCACATAGGGATCTCTGTGTGCACACAGAGGGCATTGTGTCTCTGCTGCCATGCTCAGCATGAAGTTTCAACTTCATTAGTGCTAGGGGATTGACTTTGTCCACTGAGATAAAAATACAGACAGCTCAGCTCTGTGACCGCGTCAGGCTCAAGCCTCCAGGTGTCCCGGGTCTCCCACGACAGTCCTCCCTCTTTCCCAGTCAGTCACCCAGGAATCTTCTGCATCCCAGGGGACAGCATGTGCCTGTGTGCGTGTGTGTGCAAGGACTAGAGAGTGCATGTCACGGTGTGAACACAAGAAAGGGACTGAAGAGATGGCGTAGGAAGACGAGGCCTCGAGAGGAGGCCTCAGCGTGACGCTCACCACTGGTTCCTAACTAACCTCCATGCAACCCAGCAAATGCCCAGGCACACCAGCCCCGGGGAGCTTGACTGGCCTGGGGGTGGCGAACTTTCCTGAACACAACAGTGGTGTTTGATGGTAAATAATTTAATGTATTAATGGCATCCAATTCCTGCTTTAATTGGCATTTCTCTCCATGGAAGAAAGCCAGGGCTAAGAGAGCTAGTTGGTAAATAAATAAATATAATTTCTACAGAAAAAGAGAGCTAGTTGGCAGGTGGCTTCTTGGCCCACTGCTCCTGAGACGGAGCTGTGGCTGAGCTTCCGATCAGCCTCACCTTGGCCTCCCCATATTCACCCAGAGGCAAAGGGACTGTTTCCTGAAGTCCTGCGCAGCCATGGGCCTGGGTACTGTCGGCAAACTGACAGAAGAGCTCCCTGGAACGTGGCTCGTGGCTGCGGCCCCTCTGGTGTTAACCTGAGGGTCCCCACAGCCTGGGACAGCAATGACCCTGTGAGAGAATGCCTGGGCCTGATTGGACCCCCCCGACCTTGGTTCACACTGTCTGTTGTGCCACCAACGGCTGGTGTGAGCCCCTCTTCCAGCTGCTAGTACCATGTTGAACCACCTATCTGTTCAAATGCAGCACACACCAGGGGGAGCATGCTTGTCCTAAGGAGGCAACACAGCGAGCCGCCTGCTGAGGACACACACCTTCTCCACCATCATCCGCTAGACCATGCCACCCTGCCTGGGATGCAGGGCTGGGGGATCCTGCCTGTTTCCCCCCAGCCCCTTAGAACTCCCCACCCTGTCCCCACCCCAGGACAAAGTGAACTTCCCGCTGTGCTCTGGTCCGCGGCTGGAGGCCGCACTTGCCTCCAAAGACCGGGAGATTGTGCGGCTGCTCAAGGACGTGCAGCAGCTCCAGAACTCGCTGCAGGAGCTGGAGGAGGCCTCTGCCAGTCAGATTGCTGACCTGGAGCGGCAACTCACGGCCAAGGCCGAGGCCATCCAGGTAGGCCCTGGGTGCCCAGGCAGCCCATCCCTGCCCCCAGCCAGGATGCCTGCCTCACTACCTTTGTTTCTGCAGAAGCTGGAAGAGAAGCTCCAGGCACAGTCAGACTATGAAGAAATTAAGACAGAACTGAGGTACGAGAATGGGGGCTAAGGGGTGGAGGGGGCCTGTGGAGCCCCATGCTTGTCCCTGGCTGGGCCCACCCGGCAGAGCCCCTCATCCCTCCCCAAAGCCCACCCTGCAGTGTCCTGGCAACTCCCTCAAGCAATACCCAGCCTTCTGGTCATGGGTGTGGTCCCTGAGGGATGCCCCCTGCAGCCTGACCCAGGGGATACAGCCACTCTTTAAGGCATACCAGGGCTGCTGCCTCACTGTACGGGGCACAAGATGGGGCCCAGCATCTATCTGTGTGTCATTACTGCATGTCCCCCACACCTGAGGCCACCTCCAGGTTACTGGTCACCCAGTCTCTTGTGTCCTTCATCCCCCTGGCAAGTTCAGATTGGGCAGGCAGCTTTTCCCCATTCTGTGATTGGCGGAAACCACAGATGCTGAAGCTGTGGACAAAGCAGGCTGCTGCTCCAGGGCCCGGAGCTGGTGGAGTGTGCCACCCCCTCCCGAGGTCCCACCCCTGGGGAAGGAAAGCAGATGGTAGGTAGCCCATGGGAGGCCCCACAGCAGCCTGGAGGTCCCGCTGACCTCAGCCCACCACCTTCTCCACAGCATCCTGAAAGCCATGAAGCTGGCCTCCAGCACCTGCAGCCTCCCCCAGGTAAGGGTCCCCACTGCAGGATGGGCCGCCCAGTGTCTCCCGCCAGCCCCTTCCCCTCACGTGTTCTCTGTCCCCCCAGGGCCTGGCCAAGCCTGAGGACTCACTGCTTATAGCAAAGGAGGCCTTCTTCCCTGCGCAGAAATTCCTTCTGGAAAAGCCCGGTCTCTTGGCCAGCCCTGGTAGGGGATGAAGGGTGTTCTCAGGGGCTGGTGTCAGGGGGCGGGGACAACCCAGCGTAAGTGGCCTGCTCCATGCTGGAGCTCAGCTGCCTTCCACACTAATTGGGCACCTGCTGTGTGCCTTCACTGCAGTGCATCCACCCACCTCCAGTCATCAAGCTCACAGCTCACCTGGGCCCCCAAAGGCCCCCAAAAGGCTCCATTCTCCCCAAGCCTCTGGAGCAGGCAGCAGGGAACGTTACCCGAGGGTGTTGCCGTGCACCCCACAGCTGTCCCCGACATCCCCCACGGTGGCTACATGACCTACAACCCTATGACCTCTGTCCCCCACCTATAACCTGGGGGGTGGGGGTTGCGTGGCAGTGGGGTCCTGTGCTGGGTGATACTCTTAATGCTAGGAGGGAGCCTCTCACACTGGGGTGCGGCTGGGGATTGGAGAATTGAGGGGCTTTGCTGCTGTCACATGCCTGTAGCACTCCCCCACCCCACTCCATTATCTGCTTTTCGGTCTCACCTGGCATTCTAGAGGAGGACCCTTCAGAGGACAACTCCATCAAGGACTCGCTGGGCCCAGAGCCGGCCTTCCCCTCCCCTCCACAGCTCCCCCCACCCCCAGGCCCGGAAGACCCCCTGTCGCCAAGCCCTGGGCAGCCCCTGATGGGACCTGGCCTGGGATCTGATGGCCCTAGGACTTTCTCCATGTCCCCCTTCCCCAACCTGGCCTCGGGGGAGAGACTGGCCGGGGACTTGCTACTGTCCAAGCACATGATGCCCCCGGCCACCTTCAAGGGAGAAGCAGGCGGCCTGCTGGTGTTCCCACCAGCCTTCTACGGCACCAAGCCCCCCACTGCCCCCGCCACCCCAGCCCCCGGCCTGGAGCCGCCCGGAGCCGCAGAGCCGTCGGATGGGGGTGGCACGGCAGGGACAGAGGAGGAGCAGCTGGACACGGCAGAGATCGCCTTCCAGGTGAAGGAGCAGCTGTTGAAGCACAACATCGGGCAGCGTGTGTTCGGCCACTACGTGCTGGGGCTATCACAGGGCTCGGTCAGCGAGATCCTGGCCCGGCCCAAGCCCTGGCGCAAGCTCACAGTGAAGGGCAAGGAGCCCTTCATCAAGATGAAGCAGTTCCTGTCAGACGAGCAGAACGTGCTGGCCCTAAGGACCATCCAGGTGCGGCAGCGAGGTGAGCATAGCTGAAGCCCAGATGAGGCCACTGTAGCCAAAGCCATGCCAGGGAGCCAGGGCTGCACCAACCCTGGGGGCACCAAGCCGGGCTCTGCCACCTCCAGCCACGTGGCCTGCGGCAAGTCACCTGGCCTTTGTAGGCCTCGCTTCCTCCACCTGTGGAGGGAAATATCTTAGCTCCTCCTCACTGGGCTTGGGGCAGTTCAGACTGACACCAGGAAGAGACAAAACTCCTGCCATGCCAGAGACTCCCGGGGCAACTCCAAGCCTGTCTACCCAGCTGTGCGGCCTAGGCAGATTAGATATTTAGGGGTATCATTGTGACGGGGCCCATTCTAGGCCCCACAGAGCCTCAGACCAGAATCTCAGCTCTGTCCTCCACGCACTGAGGTGACTTCAGACAACTCACCCCAGCGACCTGTGCCTCGGTTTCCCCATCTGTCGGTGGCGTTATGAGGATTCAGTGCGTAGAAGGCTGGAGTGCGGTGAGCCGTGGTGCTGGCTGTCAGGGACCTCACTGCTGGCGTTTCACTGCTGGTCCCGTTTCAAGTCGGAGTCGCCTGTACCCACAGTTTATCACAGGAACTAAGCGGTGCTTCTGCCACATGCACAGACCCGCTCCCTGGGCCCTAACCCGCAGCCCCTCGGGAGGAGAGGGAGCAGACGCTGCGGTTTACACCTCCTTGCCTTCCCAGGCAGCATCACCCCAAGGATCCGCACGCCAGAGACGGGCTCAGATGATGCCATCAAGAGCATCCTGGAGCAGGCCAAGAAGGAAATTGAATCCCAGAAGGGGGGTGAGTGTGACCATGGCCAGCAGGGTCACAGGCTACCTGTGTCCACCCTGGAGGTGTCTGTGTGGCTCAGGACCCCCAGGGCCCTCAGCACTGTGATGTCTGGCCCCTGCAGGCCTCCCCTCCTCATGACACTGTTGGCAGTTGGCAGCTGAACACTGACACTGTTCCCACACACCTGCTGTCACCTGTGCCTCCAATGCTATCCTTACCCAAGTATCCTTCTCACTTGTATTTTACCGCCCGCTTCCAAAGGCCCCTCCTCCAGGGCGCCTCCCACCCCTGTTTGGAACCACTCGTCCCTCCCATAATGGCCCTATGCTCAGGACGGTGTAGCCAGATGAGCCGCAGGTGCCAGCTCTGTTTGTAGCCATGGGGCCTTGGGGAACACTGCAGCTTCTCTCTGCTTGTGCTACCATGCTGCCCTTGAGGTCTTGTTACAGTCACCTGGCTGGTGTGCCCGTGTGGCTGCCCCTCAGCACAGCTGGTGGCACTGCTGGCAGTTCTGCAATGTTCCCAGTGACTGTCTGGGTCGTTCCCCCCAGAGGAGGGACCTGGGGTCTCTTGCCGGGGACCCTCAATTGGCATAGGGTTGTCCTTGGCTGCCCTGCCATCTGGATGCTTCCCTCAGCACTGCCCTCCACATTGCAGAGTCTGCTGCCTCCTGGAGGCCCTCAGAGCAGGCAGCCTGACTGCCAAGCCATTCCAGAAGGTTCTCAGTCCCTGCCTGGCCCCTAGTAAGGTGGGAGGAGACTTAACCTGCTGGGAGTCTACACTGCTCACTCAGGGAGTCCCCTGAGCCCCACCGTATACTTCTTTTTTGTTTGCATGTATGTATGTCTTTTAAGATGCATTTATTATTTGAGAAAGTGACCCAAGGAGGAGGGATCATGAGAAAGGGAGAAAGAGAACTTCCATCCACTGCTTCACTCCCCAAACACCACCAATAGCCAGGGCTGGGACAGCCCCAAGCCAGGAACCAGGAACTCCACTGGGGCCTGCTCGGTCTGCAGCAGGCCCCCAAGTCCTTGGACCATCTGCTGCCTCCCAAGCACATTAGCAGGAGTTAAGCTGCTGTAGCTGCTGCCTGCAAGCAGCACTGGGTAATGGGATGGTGGGGTGGGGCTCCTGTGGCTCCATGATGCACGCACCAGGTACCTCCACCGTGGTGTGGCTCAGCCCTTCTTAGCTGTGGGCCACAATGCAGCACAGCCAGAGGAGTTGTTCTGACAGGTGTGTGAGAGCACACGCCAGGAGCAGCTGTGTGCACCCAGCGGCTGCTCGGAGCACCGAGGGCAGCCCCTTCCAGCTTCCACACCCGGCCTGCAGCCCCGCACAGCACACAGCAGCAAGTCCCTGTTCACAATGCATTCTAGCGCCTGCCCATTCCCGTGGCCCACCATGAGTGTGTCCACACAGTCATGTAATCATAAAAAGAACACAGTGGCCTTGGCAAATATGTTGCCCTGAGGTGTAGAAGATTCTAGAAAGTCTAGCTCTTCTGGCATTTTCTTCCTCCACCTTAGGTTGCTGCTTTCCGTTTGATTCCTTCCACCTGCATCTCGGTTCTTTTGTCTGTGTTTGCCATTGGTGAAAAAGACCTGTTACTAAGCCGCACGGTGTTCATTTGACTTGTTTGGAGCTGTGTAGAAAGCAGGCTGCACTGCGTCTCATCTTGTGGAACTTGCTGCTCCCTCTCGCTGTCGTGGCATTAAGACTCACGCCTTGTGACACATGCATACCATATGGGTGCCAGTTCGAGACCCCACTTCCAGTCCAGCTCTCTGCTAATGCAGCTGGAAAAGCAGCAGCAGATGGCCCCAGCGCTTGGATCCTGCTCCCACATGGGAGACCCATATGGAGTTCCACACTCCTGGCTTGGCCTGATGAAACAACCTCGGCGTTTGGGGCCATTAGGGGAGTGAACCAGCAGGTCAAGGTTCCCTCTCTCTCCCCATCTCTTTCTTACTTTCCTTCTTTCTCTCTATTACTCTGCCTTTCAAATAAATTCATTAATGTTAAAAAAAAAAAAAAGAAAGAAACTCACACTTGGCTTGGTCGAGAGGCCTGGGATGAGTGCCTGGCTCCCAGGCCACCCAGGGTTGTGGTCAACTGCAAATGAACCAGGGGATAGGAGCTCATGCGTTCGCCCACTCTCCTTCCCAATTAAAAAAAAAAAAAAAAAACCACCCACGCAGGGGAGAGGCCTGCCGGAGCGTGCAAGCACTGGCTCTGGCTGCTGGAAGGAGTGGGGATTTTCTCCTCCAGACTTTGGCCATCTTCGTGGCTGGGTCCTACGGGACAGGCACATCTTGTGTTCCCCCATGGGAAGGGACTGGTTCCCAGCTCTGCCCAGTGCCCTGCCACACACCGCCATGCCCTGAGTGACTGCCCAGCCCCACTGTGGGACACAAGCTGGCACCACCCACTAAGCGAGCACAGCTCTGGTCGCACGCCTCTGGCCACCCTGTCGTCCTCCCCACAGGTGAGCCCAAGAACTCCACGTCCCCGTTGGGTGTCACCAACAGCTCAGCAGCCACCAGCACCTCGGAGGACGCCATCAAGAATATCCTGGAACAGGCACGCCGCGAGATGCAGGCCCAGCAGCAGGCTCTGCTGGAGATGGAGGCAGGCCCCCGGGGCCGCTCCCTGCCGCCCTCTCCCCCAGAGCGGCCCTCGCTGGCCGCTGTGAGCCAGAACGGGGCGCCAGCCTACGTCAAGCAGGAGGACGGCGGCACTGGTAGCAGCGGTGGGGGCAGCAGTGGCAGTGCCATGCAAGCCTCACTCACCGTGCTGTCCCCCGCCGCCTTCGTGCAGAGCATCATCCGCAAGGTCAAGTCGGAGATCGGCGACGCCGGCTACTTCGACCACCACTGGGCCTCGGACCGCGGCCTGCTCAGCCGCCCCTACCCTTCCGTCTCACCCTCACTTTCCTCCTCCTCCTCCAGCTACTCCAGCCAGCCCAATGGGAGGGCTTGGCCCCGTGGGGACGAGGTGACCGTGGCCCCTGAGGACGAGGCTGCCACGGGTGAAGATGAGCCCCCCCGGGTGGGCGAGCTCAAGTCTGAGGGGTCTGTGGCCGAAGCCGGCAGTGGCGGGCGGCTGGCCTATTACCCAGCCTATGTGCCTCGCACCCTGAAGCCCACCGTGCCACCCCTGACCCCCGAGCAGTACGAGCTGTACATGTACCGCGAGGTGGACACACTGGAGCTGACGCGCCAGGTCAAGGAGAAGTTGGCCAAGAACGGCATCTGCCAGCGGATCTTCGGGGAGAAGGTGAAGGCCCTGGCCCGGGCCAGGGGCCGGGGATGCCTGGGTCCAGCCAACGACTGCCTTGGGAGGAAGTGCATGCAAGAATGTGGCTCTTCTTTCTACATCCCACTGGCCCCAAGGCCATGGCTGCGTCAGCTTCATGCTTGCCAAAAGCCTGATGGGGAAGAGCACGCCATCTCCCCTCCCCCTCCCCAAGGCCTTCCAGGACTCCCCTGGCCCAGCCCAGCCCAGCTGCATGGCAACCAGCTGCATGGTGTCAGCCCTGTCCTTAGCAGATTCAGACAAGCTCTGGAGGAGGGGGTTAGTAACTCCGGTGGGAGACTCAGGAAGGCTTCCTGGAAGAAGGGGCATTCAGGTCTTCTTGTTTCAGGCCACCAGGAAGGGCACCGAGGGAAGGAGCCCCACACAGGTGCATGGCTGGCGCCAGGGATATAAAGGACTTTATGGGGCAGGAGGCTGGACAGTGTCCCTGAAGCCACTGATGGCCAGCCTGCCTGTCTACCCACAGGTGCTAGGTCTGTCACAGGGCAGCGTGAGCGACATGTTGTCACGGCCCAAGCCATGGAGCAAGCTGACACAGAAGGGGCGTGAACCCTTTATCCGCATGCAGCTATGGCTCTCGGACCAGCTGGGCCAGGCCGTGGGCCAACAGCCCAGTGCCTCCCAGGGTGAGTACAGAGTGGGAACTGCACCCCTGGGGCTGCAAGGCACCCTCAGTCTTCCTGTCTGAGCAGTGGGCTTCCGTCCCTGCCTATGAGCCACCACTGTCCAGCTCTAGCCTCTGTGTGGCCTCAGCTTCTTTCCCAAAGGTCAGTGTGCACCCCGGGGAGCCTTCCAGCTCAGCCTTTCCAAAGGCCGTGCTGCTGCAGTTCAAAGAGCAACAGCCAGTGTGAGGCCACCCAGACCGACGCGTCCTGCCCCACGGCCATGCCCCAGGACCCAGGCTCAGTCTGTTGCCCTCCTCTGTAAAGTAGGGTTGAGGAGAACAAATCATTCCCCAGGCCCACCGAAATGACCAGGCCACAGAGCAGCAGCCCGAACGTGGGGCAGAAACCAGGCCAAGGGACCGCCTGCTTCTGGTGCTGGATTTGGAAGGCAGCAGCCAGGGCATACAGAGCACGCCTTAGTGACTTATGGGCCAGAGCAGTGCCAGGGGCTGCCACGCTAGGGAAGGGCTTTGGCCAGGTCAGAGGGGACATTTGAACGGCAGAGTGTCCATGTCTGTTAAAGTGGTGGGCTTGAGGAGGGAAAAGGCAGTGGGCCTGGGGAGAAAAAAAGAAATGTGTGTGTTTTCTTTTGGGTGTTTCTCCACATCTTTGAAATTGTTCCTGACTGGCTGTGAGAACCCAGCGTGATCCCCGCTCGCCACTCACAGCGGCGCTAAGCCGCATGTCACACTCACCTGTGTCCACCAGAGGGAGCCCTTGCAACAGAGACGGCACCCATGGGGTGATGGTGGCCACTGCACTGAACCTGTCCTGCTCCTGGTGTCCCCATGCCTAGGTCCATCCTCTCCTCCATGCCAGCCCTGGCCACTGCCAGCCTGTCCCCTATTCCTGTGGGATCTGCCTGGCCTGGACATCTCACGCCCACGGCCTTTAATTACCAGCCTCATTCACCACAACCACCTCTGGCAGCAGCAGCTCCCGCATGTCCTGCCTGGACTCCTCAGAGCCAGCAAGCCCAGGCCATCTGGCCTCCTAGCTCCGCCTGCTGCTGATGACATCAGAGCTCTTGATGCTGCTCCTCCGTGTCCCAGGAGAGGGGCCTGGGGCAGGGGGCTTCACATGAACGGGAGGGGAGCTGTTTCCTGCTTTCCCTCTGCTTTGTCCTCATCGGTCCTACTGGACTGGACCTGGACCAGTGGCAGTGAAGGCACGGTGCAGCAGGTAGTTCTCCAGGCTGTCGAAGTCTCAGGTTCCTCCCCCTGCCTTCACCTCAAACCAGCTTGTGTCACACAGATGCACCTGGAAGGCCACGGTCAGCTTGCGGGGGGGAGGGGGGGCTGATAGGGACAGCATTCCCAGCCCCAAGGTGTGGGTCGCCAGCCACTTGGGCTGTGATGCTGTAGGCGGGAATTCAGGACCCTACTGTCTTCCTTTCAAGGGTGCTCAAGAGTCCTGGCCAAACCACCCTCCATCAGCAGGCACCAGCCCCGTGCCCCCCCCACCACCCAAGCCCCAGGGACCCCTGTAAGTGCCCCATTGAGGGCTCACGGTGGGGTGTGTGCAACCCTGCCCTCAGGCCTGGCTCTGTGCTGTCTTCCTGTATGCCCACGGACAGCTAGGCTGACCCCCCCCCCCAGTTGTGCTCACACTGAGCAACTCAACATCATAGGCCTTGACCATTAGAGGCCCCGCGGGGTCCCGCAGCACAACACTGGGCGTGCGTAGAGCAGGCACTTGGTGAATTATCATCTGTAAGGCTATGGCCCCAGCAAGTATGAGGAGTGAGTGTCCAGTGAATGTCCAGCAGGGGGCAGCCCGAGGATGAGGCACTGTTTCCCACTTTGCTAGGATTCCAAGTGACCATATTGGGTGTTGTGGACCCTGCCCTGTGCGGGGGTTCAGGTCACCTGGGCAAGCCTCAGGGAGGCGGAGCTCTTGACGCTGGGTTCTCAGAGCCTTGTCGAAGGCCATGAACCAACCAGCACTGCCTTCCCCAGGTGCACTCAGCAGATACAGCAGCCGAATCATCCCTGCTGACTCCCTCCTGCTGGTTCTGGGGTTCCGACGCCGTCACCTTGACACAGGAAACGTGGCCTAAACAGCTTGCGTTATGTGTGTTGTTACTCGCGGCAGATCAGTCTGCTGCTTTTTGTTTCTGGCATTTGGGCTCACGTGTTATTAGCCCATTTTTTGGAAAGATTTCTTTGTTTTTATTGGAAAGACAAAAATATCTTCCTTTTTTTTTTTTTTTTTAAGATCTTCTCTCTTTACAGAGAGAAGGAAAAAGAAAAAGATCTTCTATCCTCTGGTTTACTCCCCCAAATGGCCGCAACGGTCGGAACTGACCTGATCCAAAGCCAGGAGCTTCTTCTGGGTCCCCCATGCAGGTGCAGGCTCCCAAGGCTTTGGGGCGTCCTTGGCTACTTTCCCAGGCCATAAGCAGGGAGCTGAATAGGAAGTGGAGCAGCCAGGATACAAACAGGCAACTGTGTGGGATACCAGCACTTACAGACAGAGGATTAGCCAGTTGAGCTATCGCCCCAGCCCCTGTTAGCCCAGTAAAGTGTTGTGTGCGTGTTTGTGTATGTGTGTGCGTGTGTCTGTGTGTGTGTTGATTTCTGTTTTTGAAAAGCAGACTGACAGGGAGGGAGAGAGAGCGAGCTTCCATCTGCTCATTTATTCCCGAGTGGCCACACCAGCCAGGGCTGGGCCAGGTCCAAGCCAGGCGCTCGCTTGCTCTGGGCCGCCTGCCAGCTGCATTAGCTGGAAGCCGGATCTGAAGCAGAAGAGCAGGGACTGACTCCAGCTCTCTGACATGGGATGCTGGTGTCGCCGGAGCCTGCCTAACTTGCCACAGCATAATACCAGCCTCCAGTGGCCTTGGTTTATTCTTTTTTTTTTTTCTTACTATTTAACTTTTCATTTTGATACAATTTCCAATTTATAGAAAAGATGAAACACAGACAGCCACCTTGTCATGCTCCATACGCAGACTCACCAGCCGCTCGTTTTGCCATGACGTTGCTCCTTGTCTCCCATCTGGGGAGTTCATGGCGTGTGTCCCTCCGGCCCCAGGTTTCTCAACAGGCATTCCCCAGGGAGACCGTTGGGTGCAGCAGCCAAGGAACCACTTGGGCCACCCACAGCCCTCTCCAGAAAGCCTAGTTCAAGTCTTGGCCCCACTTCCAACTTCAGCTCCCGCTGCCGCACACCCTGGGGAACAGCAGCTGACAACACAAATATTCTACTTCCTGCTCCCACGTGGGAGATGCTGGTTCAGCCTGGCCCATGTGGAGAGTAAGCCAGATGAAAGACAGTTCCTCGTCGCTCTCCTCCTTTCAAATACAATGAAAATAATGTAAAGAGAGAAGCTTTATATTCCCACGTAACCTACCGTATGTTCAGAGTTCTTGAGTTCTCCCAGTAATCTGTGTATGTGTGTGCGTGTGAGAGAGAGAGATTTGTAGGAAGTGCCTTGGGGTGGGGACACCTGAGAGTTTGGGGAGTATCCATCCTCTTCCCCATCAGCCTTCCACGCAGTGGCTTAATGTCCAGGATCGTCCCTTCCTGGGATATTGCTGTGCTAGCTGCAGACTGGCTTGTCACCTGGACTTGGTGGTGACGGGCCAGCCGGGTCCATACCAGCTGGTGATAACTTCTAACTACTCTGTGCCTACAGCAAGCCCCGCTGAGCCCAGGTCCTCACCATCGCCACCCCCTAGCCCCATGGCACCTGAGAAGAGCTCCCAGGAGCCCTGGAGCCTGTCCCTGGAGAGCAGTAAGGAGAACCAGCAGCCCGAGGGCCGTTCTGGCTCCTCCACCGGCGGGAAGGTGCCCTCAGGAAGCCAGGCCATGGGAGGCATCCAGGAGATTGTGGCCATGTCCCCGGAGCTGGACACCTACTCCATCACCAAGAGGGTCAAGGAGGTCCTCACAGACAACAACCTAGGTACGGGCTGCAGGCCTTGGGGACAGGACCCCTGTGCTGCTCGGCTGTGGCTTGCCCCAAGCATTGTGCGGTATCAGGTGTCCCACAAGGCTTCTGATTGACATGTACCCCTGCAGGGGGAGGAAGGAAAGCTGGACAGAGGTCCAGGTCACCTGAGTCTGTGTAGGATACAATTCTCAAAGCTCCTTGGTAGGTGCTGGTCACCAGGAGCCCCACACCCTCGCTCACCCAGGGCACAGCCAAGCAGTATTTCCTAGGACTCTGAATCCTAGGTGCAGGTTACTCCCCTTGCTAAAAGGACCTCTGTAAACGCCAGCATTTTCACCAAGGTGCCTGTTATCAAAAAGAAGACACACTCATTGTTTTTAAAATACTAAGCAGTACAGGAAAGGATTAGTTTAAAAATCAGGAAATAGCCCCACCCTGTCCATCACACGGACACTTTGTGGACTCGCCCAAGAATGTGCAGACACCTGGGCCCCTCGCTCTTCTGCGCAGATGGAATTGTGCGCCTCATCTTGCGGCTTGCACTTTGGTGAACGCTGTTCCACATTGGAATGATCTCGTAGCTCGCTTCTCTCTCCTGTTGCGAGTATTTCCAGCTGTGGCTGCACTTGTTTTTTTCACCCAGGCATTTTCCAGATTCCTACTGCCTTTAAAAACATACGTGTGATTGTGTGCCCTGAGGCAGGTGTTGCTGTGGGATAAATGCCACGCAGTAGAGGTTATGCATGTTGAAGGAGTCTGCCATATCATTCTCCAGCAAAGCTGCACGCAGAAGGCTTGCCGCTAATTTCAGGGGTCCCTTAGGAATGAAAAACCTCTCTTCCCCCAGGCCTCTGGGCCCCAGCCCGAGTTGGTAGAGATGGCCCTGAGCCTGTCACCTGACCCCACCCTACCCTGTGGGTCTCTGGCTTGTTCCTTTTCTCTCCTGGGAGTGGTTTCCCTGCCTGGCCCAGGCTGACAGGCTGTCATCCTGCCTTGTCCCCAGGACAGCGGCTGTTCGGGGAGAGCATCCTAGGCCTGACCCAGGGCTCCGTGTCTGACCTGCTGTCCCGGCCCAAACCCTGGCACAAGCTGAGCCTGAAAGGGCGGGAGCCCTTTGTCCGCATGCAGCTCTGGCTCAGTGACCCCCATAACGTGGAAAAGCTAAGAGACATGAAGAAGCTGGAGAAGAAAGGTAAGATCTGGGCAGAGGATGGGCCCCAGCTCTGGTTGCTCTGGTTGCTCTGGTTCTGGCCTCAGAGTGTTTCCTTAGAGCGAAATGCAGGTGTAACCTGGCTGCTTCTGGATGCGGAGCTCGGTTTTCACCTGCCCCTTGTGCTGCATGGGGGACAACTGAGGCACACGGAGACACACTGACCACGCCTCCCAAATGAGTCCAGGCCCCACCTCTTGCTCTCCTCTGGCTTCTTCCGGCCCCTGCTGCCCCTCCCACAAATGCCACTTCCCTGGAAGTCTCTGTGCTTCCTAGGCCAAGCCGGCTCCCAGCCTGCTGAGGGGCAGTGAGCAGGAGGACATGCCTTGTCACCCTTCTCAGGTCCCTGGCAGACAGAGGGAACAGCCCTGAGCATCCGCGCATCCGTTACAGGCTGAGCACAGGCGTCTGCGAGCTGACAGCTGCGCCGCTCAGGCAGGGAGTGACAGGACAGGGGACAGGGGCTCTCCCTTGCCTGCTCTCAGCCTCCCCCTCCTCTACACCCAGCCTACTTGAAGCGCCGCTATGGCCTCGTCAGTACTGGCTCGGACAGCGAGCCACCGGCAGCGCATTCTGAGTGCCCTAGCCCGTGCCTGCAGCCCCAGGACGCGAGCCTGCTGCAGATGAAGAAGCCGCGTGTGGTGCTGGCACCTGAGGAGAAGGAGGCACTGCGCAAGGCCTACCAGCTGGAGCCCTACCCCTCGCAGCAGACCATCGAGCTCCTCTCCCTCCAGCTCAACCTCAAGACCAACACCGTCATCAACTGGTTTCACAACTACAGGTGGGCCCACCCAGGCCAGGGTGCCTCTGTTGGGGTCCAAGCTACCTCCCAGGGTGGGCTGTAGCATCTAGGGGCCAAGGCATTTGCCTAACACCTGGCTGGAGTGGGTGTGGTCACTCATATGGCTGGTGCTAGCGTTTGGGGAGGGGGTGATCTTTGGGGATCTTGGCTCTTCCCACTCTCTAGGCTCAACCTTCCCCTAGGAGCTACTCCCCCCCCCCCCCATGGCCAGGCCTGACTGGGGAGCTGCTGGCCTGCCAGGGTGGTACCAGGGCTGGCTCCAAGCTGGCTGGGTGGACCCCCTGAGGAGAGGGCCTTGTGGGTATGTGTCAGTTAATCCGGCCCCAGGCAGAGAGAAGGAGTAAGAGGACCCTGGGGTGGAGCTCTCTGGCCATATGGCTTTGGGCAAGGGGCCTGACTTCTAGGATCCCCGATGAGGACCCCAGTAGCTCCCCCAGTGATCAGATGGAGCAGGCTGGGGGTGAACACCTTGAGAAACGTTGCCCATTATCTGTTCCAGTCCCAAGCCCGCCAAACCACAGGCAATGCAGACTTTGCTGGCCCTCACCCCACCACCGTCCCCCTGTCCTCGATAGTACAGGAACATCTTCCTGCCTGTCATTCCCCACTATAACCCAGCACATTCATCCTTGTGAACCAGGGTCTAGAGAGAGAGGACTGGGGTTCCAAATCCATTGCCCCACCTCTGAACAGTCCACAGTCACCTCCCGGGTCGCATCCTTGTGGTTAGATAGGAAGGAGCCAGGAGTCCAGAGGAGAGGGAAGGCCTCTAGCAAAGGTAGCCTTGAACTTGAATCTGCAGGCTGAATAGGAGTTTGCACCAAGGAACAGAGTTAACTCTCGAGGGAAGTAACTCTTGCATGAGATTTTGTTGGGCAAATGTTTGTTAAACTCCAGATGCCACAGAAAACATAGCAAAGCCTCCCGCCCAACGTCTGTTGACTCAGCTGCCATTCCTGCCACTGCAGGCACAGGGAAGGGCACACAGAAGAATTCACCCAGAAGCCCCGCCCAAACTGTGGGAGTCACTGCAGGTAGTGTGCAGGGTCCAAGTGCCACCGTGTGATTGAGCCCAGACTCATGGCTGTCTCTGCCCCAGGTCCCGGATGCGCCGGGAGATGTTGGTGGAGGGGACCCTGGACGAGCCAGACCTTGACCCAAGTGGGGGTCCTGGCATCCTACCACCAGGCCACTCCCACCCGGACCCCACCCCGCAGAGCCCCAATTCTGAGGCTGAGGACCAGAAGCCACCCGTGAAGGAGCTGGAGCTTCCAGAGAGCTCTGAAGACAGCGCCACATCCCTCACCACCCAGGACAAGGCCCATGTGACGATTAAGCAAGAACAAATGGAGGAGGATGCTGAGGAAGGGCTAGACAGCCAGCCCCCAGATGTAGGGGAGCTGGACAAAGACCTGGGTTCTCCCAGAGAGGAGTGCCTCAGCGCCCCAGATAATGAGAGACTCCCAGAAGTGGCCTCGGGGCCCCTCCTTCCAGATGCCACCATTCCAGACTGTCCCTCACCACACCTGCAACAGGAGACCGAGGCTGGGGAGCGGCTTCACCCAGACCCCTTGAGTTTCAAGTCGGCCTCGGAGTCCTCGCACTGCAGTCTTGAGGTGTCACTGAACTCTCCCTCAGTGGCCTCCTCGCCAGGCCTTACGATGTCTTTGTCACCTGTGCCCTCCTCCTCAGCCCCTATCTCCCCATCCCCACCTGGCGCGCCCCCTGCCAAAGTGCCCAGTGCTAGCCCCACTGCCGACACAGCTGGAGCCTTGCACCCCAGCGCCAAGGTGAACCCCAATTTGCAGCGGCGGCATGAGAAAATGGCCAACCTGAACAGCATCATCTACCGGCTGGAGAGGGCTGCCAACAGGGAGGAGGCCCTGGAATGGGAATTCTGAAGGCAGGAGTGAGGGCAAGGGGACAGGCACATGATTGTGGTCACCTCCCTTCTTGATCTCTCATGCCCTGGTAGGGTGGAGCTGAGAGAAAGGAATCCAGCCTCCAAAATGTGGACAGCAATGTTATGCCGTTTATGTTTTTTGTTGTATCCTAATTCCATGAAGTTGTGAGCAAGCCGGTGGGGCACATGCCATTGCCTCCTTTTGCGGCACCCTCAGCTGTGGTGGGGGGTTAGGAGGTGCACCAGGAATCCTGCCCATCTTCTCCCCTCCTCAGCCCTCCAAGGAGGCAGGCACAACATGGCACCACATTTTCATCAGAAATCTCCAAACTCTTTTAGAAAAATAAATATTTATAGACCTCTTTTAGATATTTTAATAAAGGATCCTTTGGAATTTATTCCCAGCCAACGCTGTTTTGATATTACAGAGAGTTATAAAATCAGGATGCTGTCACAACTGTTGCGAAGTATACCTGGAAGTTGTGTCGTTTTTTTGCCACGAGATGAGATTAAAGAAGACAATTGTTCAAAGCCATCACAAGACGCTAAGAGACTGACCAAAACTGAGATACCCTTGGAACTGCGATTCTTGCCCACACCTGTCTGTGAGCACAGCGCATAGCCACTGCCCAGACAGAACCCATGCTGGTAGGACAAAGTCCAAAAGACTCTAAACAAGAACCACAGTGCTGTCCAGGATGCACTTCTCCCAGCAGGCTCTGTGGCCACCTCAGTCGCACGGAGCATCCAGCCCTGCCCCAGATGTTCTGGACATGGTGTGACCCACAAGGAACCATGAACACTCCCAAGTCAGAGCCCCGTGGCCTCACAATGACCCATGGTTCTGGATCTTCTGGAAAAGCTGGGCACTGGGGCAAGTGCTTAGAAAGCCCATCCCCTGACCTGCACCTTGGCCATAACCTGGGACGCATTCCCACTGGTGTCTGAATGTGAGCATCCCAGAGCAAGACTGGGGCCACCCTACTGCACCCCACCCCACCCTGCCATTCCACGCGCACTGAAGCTCAACTCGCCTCACAGCACCAAAAGATAAGATTCTTCAGAGTAGAATCTCCCTTCTCCTCAGCTGACCCTGGCGCTGTGCCTGGAGAGCACCTGCAGTCCAGATGCCAATTCCCAAGCAGCCACCTGCCCCTCACGTGGCCTGCATGGGCACCAAGGCCCTCCCCCCGCCCTCCCAGCATCAAGGTCTCCACTGTGGATGGAGTGGCTGCTCCATCAGCTGCTATGCCTCTCGTTCTCTTACTTTCATTTTTATTTCCTTTTTGAAGCCCTCTGGGAAGACTGACCCAGGTGGCTCCCAAGAAGAACAATGAAAAGGTGATTGAGCGTGGTGCCCGTCCAATGCCAGGAAGAGAGTGAGCCGATGGAGGTGAAGTAGCCCCTTGGTGAGGGGCCAAGCAAGGACCATTCCAGAAATCCCAGCTCCCAGCCCCCAACCCTGCTGCAGTCCCCGCGCTGACCAGTCAGCAACAGGCCCTGCAGGAGAACCTGCCCCTCCGTGCGCCCAGGCTATGCATTGCAGAGTTTTCCACTGTATACATTTTTACCCAGATGAAGGTATTTTTATATTCTGTCAGTAGGAACAGTGAGCAGTTCTCAGAGTGGTCAGGTCTGGAACAAACGAGACACCGTTGCCACCATGGCAGGTGGAGGGTGCAGGGGGAGACGCAGCACTTTTTATTTCTGAAACGACCCGGCGTCAGAGCCCAGGCCTCCATGCTGACAGCGCTGCCTGGTCAGCCACAGGGGGCTTTGGTGCAATGGGATTTGCTGAAGCACTTAGTCAAGTCTCAATCACATGAACCCCGTCGCACTTAAAGCCAGCAGACCCGTGAACGGCTCTGTCGCAGTCACATCCCATAGCAGTCAAAAACAAAAGCCCACACCAAACCATTTCTATGAGACTGACGAACTTTGTTTAAAATTAAAAAAAAAAAAAATGCGTTGTCACCGAGCCGCTAAATACAGAATTGTATAATACACCTGGCTGTGTCGCTTCTTTTCTTCTGAGGCTGAGGCGCAGCTCTGTCCGCAGTGGTGGCACTCTCAGAGCCAGAGGGGCAACTCTCAACCACTGCTCGGCACATCAAGTCCCACCATGGCTGCGGCTGGGCCAGGGCCAGAGCCTGGGCCAGAGCTCACCCCACGTCGCCCATGCCGGCCGTGGAGGACCCAGCTCCTTGTGCTGTCACCTGCTACCTCCGTGATGGGCAGCTGGGTGGGGACCCAGGGCTGGGTGAGTCTCAGCAGCCACTCCCACGGAACGGACTTGCTGTCACATGGTATGCCAATTCTACAACACAGGCCCATCCCCTGAACACCATGCCAACCACTTCCCTTGAAAACCACATTCTAATGGGATGGTAGGCAGAGCCGTGGCCGTCCTGAGCCATTGGTCCTTGCCCAGGCACTGTGGCACCCACATTGGCGCCAGTGCATCATGCTCAGGGCATGGGGGATATTGGTTGCTTCAGCTCAGGTGCCAGGCCCCTGACACCAGCTAAGCTGTAAGTCATGGGAGCGGCTGGCACCTTTGGTCTGCTGATGGGAAAATGCCAAAATGGACTTGCTTATAACCCACACAGAATGGACCCTCTTCCAACTAGGGCCTCACTTTACTCATCTGTGAAGTGGCTGTGTCTTAGCAGGCAGCTTAGAGGAGTGTTCCAAGTTCTGCTTGCAGGAGCCTGGGAGACAGCATGCACAAGGATGCCCGGAGCAGGAGCACTGCGACTACTGCTGTGACCGTGACCATGAGTCGAAGGTGGGTTCTGCAGCGGCCACAGGACAGCTCTCCTTGGAGACAGGAGGGTTGGCAGAGCCCCTGAAGTGCACTAACCACCTCTTGCCTGCTGGCCACAGCCCCTCCCGCCCACCCATCTTTCCGTCTTCTGCTCCACCTCAGGTAGAGATGGAAATGCCCGAAGCCCCATAGGACAAACCCAAGATGCCTGTGCGCTCCTGGGGAGCTAAGGTGGGGATGACATCAGATAAGGGCATGCCCTCCACCCACCTGGGGCTCCTGAGTGCCCAAGGGCACTGTTAGAACTCAGTGGGGGAGGAACCCAGCTATGTGCTCTGTCCCCCACTTGCCCCAGCTGTCGTGACATCGTGGCTCAGGGATGGCATCTTCCTTACAGAGTGGATGTAAAGATTGCAAGAAGCCCAAGAGGACTGGCCCTGGGACCCTCAGCCCACAGCTCCTGAGAAGGTCAGAAGTTAGGCCCACCCAGGGCCCCTAGGGAAGGCGCTATGGCGTGCAGGGAGGTGGTTGCTCTGGCAACAACTCCCCTTCAGGTCCCCAGCGTGGGTGTGGAGGCGTGGGTGTGGAGGCGTCGCTGCGGCCCTGGCCAGAAGCCTCCAGTGGTGCAGACATGGATCTGTGGGGTCTGAGCTGGGAGTGGAGGCTTCCAGGGGGAGTGCATTTGGTTTGGGAATAGACAGCAGAGAGCTGAGCTGGGGTAACTGCCCACCCTGCTTTTCAGCAGTTACTGAGAACCTACTGGGCATGCTCGGTGCTCCGACAAGGAAAACAGGACCGTGAGAGTGAGCAGTGAGGTCCAGGAAGGACATGGCGGGAGGGTCCACTCTACTGACTCCTGAAAGGGAAACGAGGATGCGAGCAGAGCAGATAGCAGGAAAGAGGTGGGATAGGCCTGGGACATGGAGGGAAGGACTGGAGAAAGATGGGATCTGGGCAGGAGGCCAGGTGGTGCAGCTCCTGGCAGGTGACCATGCACTGAGGACCACAGAGAGCCGGACAGGGAGTGAGGCAGCAGGTGCCTGGGGAGATGGGGTGCCCCTCCACATGAGCCCTAGCTCAGGGTGCACCCCCCTCAGGCTCCCAGGTCAGTTCTGCCCATGGAGCTAGCAGCCCCATACCTGTCACCTCCTGATGCATGAGCAAAGCCAAACCTCACCCAGGAGCTAGTCCAAGGCCACCAGGGCAGGAATGTTCTGGATGCCCAGCTCTCCAAAGCCAAGGTACCAGGTCTGTGTTGCTTTGGGCACTGGGCTTTCCTGGCAGGCCCCCAGGGCGTAGCAGCCTCTCAGGTCAGCTGGGCGAACCCGGCCAAGGTCACCCGTCCTGTTTCCCTGTGTGCACAGAGGATGAGGTTGTCGTGCTTGTGAGTGGTCTGTGACCTCTTGGCATGAGCATACAAGGACTATTGCATGCAGCCTGGTCAGCATTCAAGTCTCCAAGTCTCCACCAAATCTCAAGTTATGTGATAGCCTTGCCAGTTTCTGTATCCAAAGTGGACACGATTATAATCGTGTCACTTGCATTGTCAGTCACCGTGTAGCTCATGACACCAAAGCCCAGGATTGTCAGTGGAACCTGGGAATAACTTCCCTTGCTAGGACTGGGGGGCTGGGCTCTGGTACACAGCTCAGTCCTAGGGTGGCGGACTGGTACTGCCCACGGGTTGGGAGCCTCTCTATAGGGCCAGGTGGGAGTCCTCCCAGCACCAAGCTGACTTGCCCAGGAGATATGGAGGCTGCAGCACCCCCTGGTGCTGGCTGCACCAGCTGTGGACCCAGGGAGGCGGGCAGCAGAGCAGCTCTAGCCTGGCAGGGTATCATCCCACACTGCCCACCGCAATCCCTCTCCCCCTGGGCCCTGCCCCAATCCTCCTTCCCCAGGCCCAGGAATCTGCATTTCTACCTGCCTTGGGGATTCAGCTGCCAAACATGGCCACCCTGGGGAACAGTGAACTGGGTGGCCAGCCCTCCTCCAGTCTCAGTGTTCAGTGGGATGTCACCCATTTGATATGCAGGGGTCTCAGCCTCAGGCTGCAACATCCTGGTGGCTATACTCCCTGGACACAGAACGTGGTTTCCTGCTGGGGGGTCAGTGTGTGCCTCAGGGCTCCCTTCCCTCTCTCACAGGGCTGGCTGGATCCCCCATGGTGCCCCTGTCGTGGCTGCGGTCAAGGCCACAGACAGTGAGTGCCCTGACTCAGCCCACACGGGAGCCACTTCCCTAGCCCCCACTTGTCAGCTGCGGTCGCGGAAAAAATCACTCAGCATGCACAAGCTGCTCACAAGTAGCCGGAGTGCCAGCCGTGGCAGCCTCTCTCCCTGAACCTGAACAAGAGAGCCCCGTGTTCCTTAAACACGCAGCTTTCCAGCCTGGTAGGGAAGGCGGACACAGACAAGACCCAAGGTCACCCAGGGCCTCCTGTCCCCCACCCCATCCTTACACAGACCCAGGCTGGGAAGGGAGTGCCACAGCAGACATCACCCAATGCCTCCGGGCCTGGGCGTGCCAGAGTCCTAGTGAGGACCAGGTCCTGACCCTTCTCTGTTGTCATCCCCAACCTGGACGCTGGTCAGCACCACTCCCAACTCAGTCTTTGCCCACACTTGGCTTCAAATCCTTGCCTCCTACCGTCCATCTTGCCCTTTGTGCTCCACTAGCCCCACCTTCCTCCTGGAGGCCTGGTTGTGCCCATCCCTCCTCCGCTCCGCCATGGTGACTGTGGCTGACGTCCCCGTCTCTCTGAGCCTGCGCCCTCATCTGGAAGCTGGGGCAGGTGTTGGCCTCCAAAAGCCAGGAACGTGCCTGGCCAGCCCTCTGGCACACAGGACACACCCTGGGCCTGGCAAGCAGCCAAGCACTTGCTCGGTGAGGAGAAATACCACAAGCAGTGCTTCTGCATGAACGTTTATTAGAGCCCTCACGCCCTGCCCACCCCAGGCAGCCAGGCCACAGCTTGTACTCCAAGAAGAGGCACCCCCACTGCTGCCCAGGCCTTGGGAGACCAGGGCTGTTGTACCCTCAAGTCTGTAGATCCGTACCACAGTGGGAGCTAACATCCCACCAGCTAGCCCTGGCCAGCTCCTAAGAGATCTGGCAAGGGGGAAAGGGAGGGAAATGTACTACAACCCTAGAGGCACCTGCTAAGGAGGGGCCAGAGTGCCAGGCAGAGGCCCCCCGACCCCATCCTTGGGGAGCAGTGCCAGCCAATGGCTCCATCCCCCAGGGGAAAGGCCACCCCTGAGATTTAGAAATCAGAATCTCCCTGCAGCCCCCAGCCCCATGGCTCCCCAAATAAGAGGAAGGGGCAGCGAGGCAGGCATAGGCTAGGCAGCTGGCAGCATCCCCAGGGTTCCTGGGACTGTAAACATTCCAGGATGAGGGCCAGGCGTCCCAGCCCCTCCTGGATGAAGGGGCACTGCGGTGAGAGGAGACCGCCAGTGCTCAGCCTGGGCAGAGGAGCACAGGGTAGGCGGGGCTCAGGAGCTACGGCCCCACCCCCAGTCAGCACCTGCGCACTGCAGGGGGTAGTGAGTCAGCTCTGGCCTCACCTCCCTGGGGGACCCTGCCCATGGGTCAGTTCCGGCCTCCTGGGCCCAGCCAGTCTCTGGTGGTCAAGTGAGTTCCCAAGAGGCCCCGCCCTGGCTCAGGGTAGCCCAGCTGCTCCTGGAGAGGGACCAAAGGACACAGTCCCACAGCCTGTCTGAGGGCCCTGGGGACCAGGCACTGCGCACCGCAGTTGGGCTCTCTGTCCATACCCAGGGCCCACAAGCAGCTGCCAGGGCAGAGTGAGGACCATGTGTTTATCAGGCCCCAGCTGCAGCCGTGGGGTCTGGAGCACCCTGTAGCTGGGCCACTCCCAGCATGCAAGTCAACAGCATCTCCCAGTCAGGGCCCTGGGACCTCAGGGCTGGGCACGGTGACTGAGCCACTGGGCCCGCAGCGCCTGGATCTCCTGCCCGTACCCTTCATGCAGCTTTGCGAAGGACACTGCGTCAGAGGGCCCGAGGGGCGCGGAGGCCCGACGGCGTGGGGGTGGTTGCGGGGGTCTGGATCGGGTGCCCACAGGGACAGCTGTGGGAGCCTCAGTGTTCCAGACAGCACAGCCGTTTTCCTTGGGTGGGAGTGCGCTGGGCCGGCGGGGCAGGGCGGTGCCGCCCCCTGGTTGCATGGCAGCTAGTTGCTGCTCCAGCTCACGCACCACTAGGCGCAGGTAGTCGAAGCTGGCCCGTGACAAGGCCTTCACCCAACCCTCCAGGGCGGCCTGGCTCTCAGCAGCCAGCACATAGGCACGGGCCCGGGCGCCAGCGAAGCACACGGCAAAGGTGAAGTCCTTGGCAGCCTCCACCAGCTCCACGGTGCAGCCCTCCAAGACGATGACACCCAGTGGCTGGCGTGCCGCTGGCTCCTCAAAGTAGAAGAGCAGGTTGCCACGCAGTACGAACCAACGCCGCTGCGAGGCCGCCGGCCGGCCACCCTGTTTGTACAGGAAGCCCTCGTGGTCCACAGGCTCGTCACACGTGGCGTAGAAAGCCAGGCTGCGTTCATTCAGCTTCATGGCGCTGGCCTGGGGCGTACTGCAGCTCACCCGGGCCCCACAACCCTCACAACCCCAGTGTCAGTCAGCTTCCAAAGAGCCCTGTGGCCGGCCCCAGGACCCCTGAGGTTCACCTCGCAGCCTGCAGACATGCTCCAGTGGCCCAGCCAGGCCAGTCACTCACTCAGAGAGCAGGCAGTTGAGCTGAGCGGACACTCCCAGAATTAACCAGCTGCTTCCTGCATTCCCTACCAGCTCCCAGCAGCTTAGGAAGCAGCTTCCTATTGTTCATCCATGAAATGGGGCGATGGGCACCTACTGTGCGCTCGGGACCACCTCAGGCAAGAGGGACGCAGGGAGGCTGATGACCAGGGTCCCTGGCACAGCAGCTGGGCAGCAGACAGCCAACAACACATCCGACATCTGACTGGCATCCTACAAGACAGGGAGACAGGGAAGGGAGTGTTGGAGTCAGGAAGAACAATTGATTTCAGGCGGTTGGAGAGCCATGCAGGGAGATGACATATGAGCAGAAACCTGAGGGACAGAGCCATGGGGGGGCACCTGGGGAAGGGCAGCGGGATTAGCAGCCAGGAGGAGACAGAAGCCCCTCAGGTACTGACGGGGGGTGGGGGGGGCCAGGGTTTGGCCTACACGCCCAGGTATGAGAACAGGGGCGGAAGACAAGAGGTGCCTACCACACCCAAGCTGGAGGAAGCCAACCTTGCTTAGGCAGGGCTTCCAGAGCGGGCATGGGGCATTCCTGGGTCTTGCTCCAAACCCCGAGATGGGGTGTTTCTTTTTCTTTTTTTTTTTTTTTAAGGTTTACTTTATTTTTATTGGAAAAGCGGATATACAGAGAGGAGAGACAGAGAGGAAGATCTTCCGTCCGATGATTCACTCCCCAGGCGGCTGCAACGGCAGGAGCTGTGCCAATCTGGAGCCAGGAGCCTCTTCTGGGTTTCCCACACGGGTGCAGGGTCCCAAAGCTTTGGGCCGTCCTCGACTGCTTTCCCAGGCCACAAGCAGGGAGCTGGATGGGAAGCAGGGCTGCTGGGATTAGAACCAGCGCCCATATGGGATCCCAGGCGTGCAAGGCGAGGACCTTAGCCGCTGCGCCATCACGCCGGGCCCGAGATGGGGCATTTCTGCACAGGTCCAGTATGGCCAGGCGGGAGCTGTGTGAAAGGAGGCCCTCAGCTCACACTTTGGGCCAGGGGACTGAGGCCTGGGTGGGAACTCTCTTGGCGGTGGTGCCCACAGGGGACCCAGCCAGGCCTGCTGCCCTCCAGGAGGAGGTGACAACAGCTGCTTACTGAGTCCCATCTCGGGCCACCTGCCCAGGAGGTCAGGGGAGGCTTCCTGTCCAAGACAATTTGAGTGGTGGCCAAGCTCCGCTGGCCCTGATGTGGCGGCAGCACCAAGACCTAAGCCCCATGCTGCCTCCTGGAGCTGCCGACTCCACCCTGGCCAGCCCAGTGGAGCCCTGGCTTCTTTCCCTGTAGAGTAGGGATTCCCTGAGCCACCACGTGCACCTGCCAGGAGGCTCTGCTCAACCCCAGGCTCCCTCTGTTCCCAGGTCACACATCACCCCTGCAGTATCTGGGCTGGGCATCCCCAGGAAAGCCCTCAGCCTCTCTGGGCTTCTGCGTCTGCCCAGTGGGCCAGGGAATCACGGTAGCTGGGATGTTGAGGCTGCACGGGGGCCCTGAGGCCTTCCTCATCCACAACACACCCCACCCACCTCTGACCCCTCTAGACTCTTCCAGACCAGTGCCCATGGCACACAGCCCACCAGAGCGTGCCACCTGCACTGTCCACTTAGTGGGCCCATGAAGCCCACTCCCCAGCCAGGGGACAGGCAGGACAGAGCCCAGGGGAAACGCCCTTCTTGGCTCCTGTTGCCCTTGGGACAAACACCACCCTCGTCCCCCACTTCCCCGAGTGCCAGGTGCCTGCCCTCCCACCACCAGGCCTCTGCTTCAGGGTTACCTCCTGGCCCCTCCCTGCTCATGACTGCCCTTGGCCAACCCTCTACCTGGGACACACACAAACACACCCACACACACAGGCCAACCTGAAAGATGTCAACCTGGCCGAGGGCTGTCTATTCTCGGCTGGTTTTTGTCTTCAACAGGTATGTAACAGGTGCACAAATGCCTGTGGGGACTGTCTGCCTCTCCACAGTCCCTGTGTCACAACATGGTGACAGAGCAGATCGGGAGAGCAGCCTAGGTGGGGGAGACTCACCCCTGAGCTCGCGTCTGGAACCCCACCAAGGCCAAAGGAGCAGCAAGTCGGGCCCTTTACTCCTCCTCCTCCCAGACCCCACCCCATCCCAACTCCTGCCCTGGGCAGGGGAAGGCGGTTGCCGCACGCACCCAGGCTGCAGCTCTGCCAGCAGGGAGGGTCAGGGCCCCGGCTGATCTCCCCAGACTCTGCGGGTTCAGAGTCCGCCGTGGGCACAGCTGCTGATTCAACAGCACCAGGCCGCGCCGGACCGGGCTGGTTCCTTCCTCTGCCAGTCCCAGCGGGGTGGACTGTGGGAAGAACTCCACGGGTGCTCAGCCTGGCAGGGAGAGGGGGAAAGCAGCTCAAAAATGGGGGCGCCCGCGGGCAGCACTGCTCTCATGAATGCAGAGTCGGGTGGAGGTGGAATGGGAGTTCCATACGCGTTCGGACTGAAGCAGGACTCCGGGGAAACTGAGGCACGGGAGGCAGCCACACCCTCTGTCCTCACTCCACCCGAGCCGTGGCTCGTGGTTCGGAAAGGAGGGTGTGGCAGCCCCGGGCCAAGAAGCACGCGCGAGGGACCCCCGCCCCCGCAAGGCCGCGTGCCGGTGTGGCGGCCCCCGGTCTCCCTCGGTCCCCGACGCGTGCGGGTGCCGGGTGCGCTCTCGGGGCCCCTCCAAGGACAGCTGCGGCCCGGGGGTCCGCGTGCTCGGCAGCGGGGTCTCCCACGGGTGTGCCCCACGGAGCACGCCCGGATCTCGCGTCCACTCGCAGGTCCGCCCGCGGGTCCCCGCGCCAGGCTGGCCTTACCTAGCGGCACAGGCCTAGGACGGAGACGGCGGTCCCGAAAGACGGCCCGGCCAAGGCCCGGGAGCCGCTCGGCGGTGGCAGCTGCGGCGTCGCTTTGTCTCCCCCCCGGGAGGCCGGGCCGGCGCAGCCGCGGGAGAGGCCGGCCGGGACGGAAGGAGGCGGGGACAGCCGGGCGGCCGGCGACCCGCGGGGGACGCCCCTTTCACCCACCCGGCCAGCCCGCGCCAGGCCCGCCCCCGAGGCCCGCTCGACCCCCGATTGGCCAGCCCCGACCGGCCCGTCCCCGCACGTGGGCCCGCCCCCTCCCGCAGCCGCCGTTAAAGGGACCGCGAGGAGCCGGGGGTTTCCCCGTGAGGAGGAGGAGGAGAGGGTCCCGTGTGGTGCGTGCGGTCGCCACAGGGAAGGGGAGAGGCCCGGGGCGTTGGCAAGTCCGGGCCCTAAGTTGGAAACCCTGTAACGCCCCGTGTGTGAAGGACTAGGAAAGAGACGCCGTCCCGGCGGCGCCCACGAACTGGGCTGTCTGCGTGCGCCCCACGTACGGAGCCTCGCCTCACCGGGAGACCTTCGAGAACCCACTTTGTGCCGCTGCCCAGCCGCAGGCTGAGGACTCTGAGAGAAACTAGGCAGACCGGACTGCTCTGTGTCCCCTGTCCCATCGCTACCCCCACCTCGCAGCCTCCGCAGGGGCACCCGCTGTGGGCAGGCCGGCCGGGAAGCCCGCAGCAAGGGCCAGGGCGCCTTCTGGAGGCAGCCAGGGGCCAGGAGAGCCTCCCCGAGGAGCAGAGAGCTGAGGCCCGGGCCTTGGGGATATACCTGAGGGGGTCCAGGTGGAGGGCACGGAAGGGTGCAGGCGCCAAGGCGGCCCCCTGCCTCCCAGCCCCCAGCTCCAGGCGGACAGGCGTGTCCAGGGTGCACCAGGTTCACCCAGGGGCCCGAGCCACAGCTGCTGCCTAGCGAGAAGGCCTGGGTGCTTCTATCCAGCAGAGAAGCACCATTAAAGCCGAGAGGGAGGCTGGAGGGGGTGCGACCCCGAATGTCCTGCCCAAGTGGCCGTGAGCTGGGGAGGGGGAGTCCCCGGTCCAGCCTGGAGCACAGTGGCGCTCGGGGACTGGCAGGAGAGATGAGAGAACTGGTCGACCCCTACTTGTGCGCAGCAGCTGCCAAGTTCCTACAAGGAACAGACGGGCCTGGGGAGAGGGGCGGAGATGCCCCATGCCTCCCACAGCCCCTAGCCCAGTGCCTGGGTGTGACTCGCAGTGCCACCTCCCATTCCTGCTAAGGTGCACCTTAGGAGCGGGGTGCTGGTGGCTTGGGTCCCTGGCACTCATGTGGGAGACTTGGATGGAGTTCCAGCCTTCCTAAAGAGACAGGCAGCTTAGGGGTTTCGGGGCTTGGGTGAGACTAGCACCGCTTTACTGTTTGGTGTGGTGAGAAAGTTCTGGAAGCAAGAGAGGTGCTGGCTGGCTGCAAGGCAGAGTGAAGACACTGAACCTCTCCGAGTGGGGCTGTGAAAGGCAACTGTGTTCTGTCTCACGCAGGAGAGAAATGACTGTTAGATGCCACTGCGCTGGACCACTGGCCCTGTAGGAGAGGATGGCAACCCTGGAACAAGAGTGGAGGGTGGGGAGCAGCCCTGAGGAGTTGGGGTACGGCTGGAGAGCGGGAGCCTGAGGGGAAGGAGTGGAAGAAGAGCAGCGGACTGGGACCAGGACTCCTGACATGAGAAACTGAGTGTTATGAGATGGCCAACATTGCCTCTTCCAGGAAGGCCTCCTTGACCGCTTACCCCGTGGCCACTGCATCATCACCAGCCCTTGCTGACTCACATCACCTCTATGGCGCTCGTGGCCGCCCGGTAAGTGCCTTGCTGTTGATGGTGGATGCCATGTAAGGGCTGGTGGGAGGAGTAGAGCACCCCTGGAAATCTAAGACTGGTCTCAGCATGGCATGTAGTCAGCCCTCCTGGGGCCCCACAAGGTCAGTCCCAGCCTCCCCTGCTGAACTGGCCTGGCCCAGGTCACATGATCCCCCGCGAGCCCATCATGGCCAGGGGCAGGAGTCCTCTGAGGTGTGTGTGACCCCACAACATGAGGCATCCACATTGTACACAGAGGGCCCTGGCAGCGGGGGGACAGACGGGGACACACACACACCCCACCTCTCCCTGCCTTCCCA